TCGTGAACTTTGCGAATTTGGATTTGCGGTGGATGCCGTCGTTTGGGTTCGTCTAGTCTTGACCTCAAAGAGAAGTATCTCCAGCCACCCTAAAAAGCTATTCTGTTTCTGGCAGGGCAGGCTTAGCGCCCAAAGGTCGAAGACCACATCCTAACGTACAGGTCTTCCAGGCTCATATCCTCCTTTAGCACCAGAAGTTGAAGCGGAAATGAGTCAGATCTCCCAAATCTCTGCGACTGAGATCAGACCGCAGACCCTTGGTTCTCAGTTTGCCCTTTCTGTCCTCGTCAGCATGGCAAAGTCAATGCAATCACAAGTTTCCCGGCACCTTTGAACCAAGAGAACCCTAAACCCTAAACCGTGGCCTTCGTCGCTGCAGGTGGTCGTGGACCAGATGCACGCAATACAGCACCGGAAGCTCCTTCAGGAGGCCCTCGCAGGCCAGCGCTGGGGCCGTGAATTGTTGAGGGTTCAGGGCTTAGGGTTTAGGGTTTAGGGTGCAAAGCTTTCGACCCGGAGGGGTCTAATTAGACTAGCGCGAAACTTCCGCATCCTAAACCGTCCAAGTCTTGGCCTTGACATCTTGATCACCCTTTTTTTGAAATTCGTTAAAAATCGTCACCCCAAGCCAAGTCCAGCTAGACAGACAAAAACTACCAAGACCAAGCTCAAATAAGGCAAACCCTTCACTGGAGATGAGCTCCATACATCAAGCTTACGGCTTCAGCCTGAACGACCTGGCCGAATCCTTAAACCCAAATCACGCGCCGCAGCAAAGGCCGAAACGAGCTCAAGACGTGCATCCGACTGATAAAGTGAGCCCTTGCAGGGATTTGTGGAGTTTTGCCTTTCGAGCTCTCCCTTGCCGCGGATTCGGGGGCTGGTGGGGTGTGGGGGCGCGTTAGCAGTTTACAATTCATTATGATTTGGGTGTTAGAGTTTACGATTCGGCAGAACATTGAGGCTTCGGCGTCTGCACAGCATGGATCCCGTTGCACTGCTAGTGAACCCCTTGTCAGGTTGCACGCCAGTGAGTCCATACTATCGAAGGTACCATCTTGGTTTGGTTGCAACCCTAAACCCTAAACCCTAAACCCTAAACCCTAAAACGATGAACGGCAAGCCGCTCAAATCTTCTTACAACTGCGCGAAGCCGAAGAGAGCACCGGAGCGGAGGTACTGGCTGCGGCAACGTGGGCTTCCCATCGGCGCGGAGGTCTCGATTGTGGGGTCTTTGTGAGAGGGCAAGGCTTTTTGAGAGGGTTGAGAGTTGTTGGATCATTTTTTGAGTTTGTAGAGTTGTTTACGGGAGGGGTGCAGATACGTATTTGGTTCCAGATCTTGGATTCTAGGGCTCGCAGTGCTGAGGGTTCCGAAAGACTCTCAGGTTTGGGGGTGCTGTCATAAGCCCAGAACTGCCGAACTCTGCTGGCTTCCTGTTTTGCAGCTGGGAGTTCCTCCCAAGCATGCAAAGAAAAAGGAAAGCCGAAACTTCAATATGAAGGCATCCCACTGAATAGACATGGGCCCTGATACTTACCCGACCTCCGAAGAAGCGATACGAGCCAAGCAAGCCCATAAGAGCTGCAGAAGCTTCGATCACCTCAAGACACCCTTTTGAACCCGAAAGCCCAAGCCCTGCCCCGAAACTGCCCCTGACCCGCACGCCTCCAACACAACTTCTCGAAGGGCGGGCTGCCTTCTTTCGCCTGGGCCTACACCGCCCCTTGGCGGCTTTTGACTGCAGGGTTCCGGCCTTCGGAGTGGTATCTTACTTTAAGTATTTTATGGTAGTTGTTGTGGTATCTTGTAGAATATATTATGGTAAGGGAGTACTTGATAGTACTTGTTTTGGTATCTTATAGATACATTATGGTAAGGGCGGTGAGGCGAGAAGCGTTGAATCACGTTGTCGGTGCTCTGTTCATGGATTCGGTCTTCCCGGTCTTATTGGTTTGGCATTGAGTTTGCGAGGTTTTCACAGACCCCGGTAGACTGCTACGCGTTCTGGCATCTTTAGCGGCAGCACAGTCTTCTGTAATCGTGTAACTAGGAGGATGGTCTTTTTTTGGCTGCAGGCGCGTGTCTTACGTAGCACGTGCGCTCGCCAGGCGCTACAGCTTGCAACGGACTTGCCGCCAGGAACATCTGCCGCCACCTCGGCATCTGCTTTGGGGAGGAACCTGTAAGCCGCTCGACCCGACGTAAACCTCCGCCACCTGTCCCAACGCTTCGAAGCGAGCGCTGGACCCTGCGTCCAAAGCTCCGCCCCTGAGCCCCTGAAACCGCGATGGCCTTCAGAACTCTTTGAACCCTCACAACCCTAAACTTAGGGACCCCAAAAGCACATAAGCATAAGCATTTTACCGGTATATCCCTACCTTACCTTATTGGGCTTCCTTTTAAGGGGGTTGATAATGGTTTGTATGGGATATCCCTATCCTAATTTTGCTAATGTGCTTTTTTGGGGCCCTTTCAACCCTGCCTCGGAATGGGAGCCGAGCCTTAAAGCCTGGAGCCCCGCGTCCCACGTCCTATGGAAGCCCGTCGCCAAAAACCCCAAAATCCTTGACGTCCCAAGAATTTGCAACCACCCCCAAACCCGAGAGCTTTGACAACCCCAGATCAGAGCGACAATCCCTGGAGTCCAAAGAAGCCAAGAATCTCAGGCCCTGAAGCCCCAAGAATCGTCCCAAGAACCTCACTCCCAGAAGCACCTGAAACCCCTGAAGTCCAGACATTTCAACAAACGTAGTATGCCCAGAAAATACAGGGGGGGAATCTGAACGGTCACAGTGTTCTAGGCTGAAGGTTGAAGAATTCGCAAGATCACCGCCGCCGCCGCCGCCGTAGGTGGAGAGGCTCCTATGCCACTTCTTCAACTCACTCAGCAAGCTGAGTGAGAGGCCTGGCCGGAAGCGGCTTTTAGGGCTTTTATGGGCTCAGGGCTTCAGAGTCAGATTTTTCGGATTCGGGGTTGTGGGTGGTGGTGCAGGGGCTTCGGGTCTATGAACAGCTTGGAGGCTTCATAGTTTCAGGAGGACAGGTTTGGAGTTTAGGTTTGGGTGTTGCTTCGCCCCAGGCCCTAAGCGCGATGTGCTTTTTCTACGACGCCCTGTCGAGCGCGTGCAAGAATGCCACAACACTGAACTCTCGAAGCACTCGAAACTCCGCCCTAGCCCGTTCAATATGCACCCTAACTTTAACCCTTTTTCATCCCTAAACCCTAAACCCAATATGCACCGGAAGAACCCCAGAGCATCTCAGTTCGCTCCGCAGGTCGTTGGCCGTGCAATACAGAGAAAGAGGTGTCAACGTCGCCTGGAAAGCGAGGCTCGCAGCTGACAATCAGGGCCCAGGGTCGTGCTTCTAAGAACCTGCCATCGGTGGGTGCCGTACAGCAATAGAAGCATGTTCACGTTACCAAGAGCATGTATGCATGTCATGCAGCGAACAGAGAGCCTAAATCCCAAATAGCAAGACGTGCTTTTCTTGAAAAAACCCCTAGAGAGGGACGTCTTCATCTTCTGACGTGCCAGATACCTGCACGCCAGGAGTGATCCTACTGCATGGTCGCAGGACTTGTGGAAGCCACCGTTTAGCTCTTGGGCTCTTTCCCTTTTTCGAGTCTCCCTGAATCTTTGAAGTCATGAGCCGAAATCCTCAAGCCCTGATCCTGAATCGTATGCCAATCGATCATATAAACATTTAGCGCTGAGTCCTAAACTCTTGACCCCAAGACCCTGAGCCCGAAAGTGTTGGGTCTCTGTGTTTCCATGAGGGCTCAGGAGGTTTCCATGCTTGGAGCGCTGTCAGCTCTTGGGTCTTGAGGTTCGTCCTTAACTAGTTCCTCTGATGTCAGACAGTGGTACCGGCGGCAGCAGCAGCAGCCGCAGCGGCATCGTCATCGTCATCATCGTTGCCACCAACTATCGGGGTAATGAACGAATGATCATGTATAAATACAGAGTCTCGACAAGTTCACCCGAAACCTAACACCCTAGCCCTGCCGCTTGAAGCGGAGACCTTCTGCTCGATATCGGTGCTTTGAACTTCACCGCTCTCGAAGCACCCGACATCCGCGACTGCAACGGCAAAGCCGCAAGCCCTTACTGACGCAGCTTCGGTCGACAACACGGGTTTTTACCTGCACAAGTTCAAGTCCGCGAACCCCTGCGAGGAGGTCATCGCATGTTCTCAACCCCAAACCCCCGAAACCTAAGCCGGACATCCACAAGACCCTGGAAAATCCTTATAAAACTGAAGATCCATGCATCAAACCCTTCTGAACCTCAGGCCTTTAACCCCACACTCCCCCTTTCAGGAGCTTCACAACTGTGTTTAAATCCCCTGAGGCCTGCTTGATCTCCTGTTTATGCCGCACTGCACAGCCTGGGAAGAGCCCTCTGACAGGAGTTTATCGAACTCATCTGGGTGGATGATCCGACCCGGCGGCAGCAGTTCGGGGTCCCCTCCAACTCCCTCCCCCGGGTTTCAGTCTGCGAAGTATATGATTCGGGGTTCCCGGGTTTAGGACTGGGGGTCTCGGGGTTTGCGGATTGCTTCTGGCGTTGGAGCTCCAGGTGTTGTTCAGGCTGACCTCGCCGCATTTTGTTATTCTGCAGTGCCTGGGTGTGGAGTGTAGTGCTGCTCAACACTTCCGCGACATCGGCGGCTTCATGTAGAAAGGTGTTACATAGCTACACAAAGAAGGACAAAGAAGCACAACATGTCCACACAGCCGAACTTTTAGCACCCCCCAGCACGCAGCCCCAAAACCCTACCTTTACCTGACACCTGATACCATCTGGCGCTTCAACTCCTGAAGTCTCAGTCGTGAAGCAAAGACATGGGCCCGAGAAAAATCATGCGGTGCCGACACCTTCTGGGCCTTACGCAGCTCAGATGCGCCCCTACCCCGAGAGCATCTGTAGCCTTCAAAACTCTGAATCGTCCGGTGGCACCATGGGCCCTGGCTACAGCGACACGCTGTGGGAGGCATGAGCGCAGGCGAAGTTCTGGGTCGTTTCGGATCTGTTGGGGTTTGTGAAGGAGTGCCGGGGCTCGGAAAACCCACAACCATGGTGGACACCATACAGCAATTGAAGACGCCATTCGGAGGTGGGAACTAACACGTTAAGGTGAAGGGGCAAGCAACGTATGTTGCAGGCAGACGCCATAACTCAGAACGTTCAGTAATTTATCACCAATATCATTCCTCAGGGTTCCTTATTATACTTGTACTATAGTACACCCCCAGGCCCTATTCTAATTACTAAGGCCCCTACAATGCAACTTCGCGGAGCTTCGGGGCTGGGTCATTCGTCCTGGGCCTTAAACCCTCAATGGGAGTTTCCGGGAAATTAGGGGTACCTTATTTTGGGGATCCTTATAATAAGGATCCTACTATTCAGGGTACTATATTAGGGTCCCCTATTTTCGGAAACTCCCAAATGTGGGGCCACATGAGGTCTCCGATATGTCTTTTGGGGGTCCAGCTCGGTGCAAGAGCTCAAGGCTCAAGCCCACCGGCCCCGGTATGGAATCCTGCCTCTGCAAGAGCTGTCGACCCCATCATTTAAGTATGTAGGGTATTGGGGTTTACATATAGGGTTTAGAGTTCAGGGTTTAGGGCAGGTCTGCCCAGCAAGCAGAAGAAAGCCCTGTCCTCATCAAGGCCCCGAAAGGTAGCCACCGAAAAGCCGCAACCTCATGCCCTTTGCCAGGATGGTCGAGGATCTCGAATCCTAACGGGTTTAGGGAATTAAGGTTTAGGTTTTAGGGGTTTTACAGGTTTAGGGTTCAAAGGCTCTTGAAAGCTTCATCCTCTGGGCTCGAAGATCCTCGTTGCGAGGGCTTCTTGGGGACTATGCGAGCGACGAGGAAGAAGTTGTGGACGAGCTGAAGGACGGAGGGGGGGGCTTGTGGCGGGTTTTCTTAGCAGAGTACTTGCAAGTTTCAGTCGCGTTTTGTCTCATCATGAGGGTTCGGTCCTTGTAGTACGGCTGGGTAGACATTGTGTGGACGGCTCGATTTCAGAGGGCCCTCGAGGAAAACTGCCCGGATTCGTACACTCTGTTTTTGTTCGAGGCTTGTGTGGTTTTGCAAGGCTGAATCATTTCAGACTTGGTTCAGGTTTGCTTCAGAGCTACCCTAAACCCGAAGAGTTGAGGGACGGGATGTCTTTGCGTTTTTCAGGGGCTCGATGGATTCCTAGACCCTATAAACTCCGAAACCGTATCTCCAAACATCAACCCGCAAGACCCGAAAGAGTCACACCCAAACTCTAAAGTCCTAAACATTTCGGTTGGGACTTGCGGGCTTTTCAATGCCTCTACGCCGCCGTGGGTGGATTTTCTTGAAGGCCGCAGGTTAAGCGCGCAGACCTTGCAGATTATGGTCCCTTTTTGGGTCCCTACTATAATACGGCACCTATCTATTTAGGGTACCCCAAAAGGGACCCTAATTTTGACAACTACCCATACTTTTTTTCCACCCATGGGCCCCGAACATCCAGAGAAGTTTACCAAACCCTATAAAACCAAGACACTTTGAAGTTCCATGAACACTAAATCCCGAAGTCGCCATGTAAGTTCAGTTTCTGGGCCTCTCTTTGAAAGCAAGCATCACATGTCAATGGTGACTTCCACATGCGGCCGTCACATGCCGCTGCCATGTCTTTTTCGTTTCATTAGTGCAACTCCAAGACCCCAAAAACCTGACAAACTCGACTCCCGAAGCCTTAAAACGCTTTTGCCCTCAAGCCGTATAGACCTCAAGCCCCCCCAGCCCTGAAACTACCGCAAAGCCCCAGAAACCCTGCTTCAGAGGAGGGTTACGAGGCCCGCCAGGCGATCGCACAACAGCCTCCCGCATGTGACTTCGGGATTCGAGACTTGATTTTTGGGGTTTTGTGTTGACGTAGCTTGGGGTGTAGGGTTCAGGGCTTGGGGCTTGAGCTGAGGAAGGGGCGGATGTCCAGGAGTTGCGGTGCTGGAACAAGGGGGCTTGACGAACACTCTCTGAAACCCCAACCGAATTTACGATAAGCTCAAAGACCCAGTCGGGTGCCTCAACAAAGAAAGGCTCGCCTGGCAGATGGAACGAATCCCAGGTTTCTGGATGCTTCTTCACTTCTCGACGACCTCGACGAAGCCGCCGAAGCTTGCGCTACAGTTGTGGGAGAAGGGGTTTTAGGCCTCTTAGGGCTTCTCGTTCATTTTAGCGTCTCTAGGGCTTAGGATGATGAAATTATAGGGCTTGTGGGCGAGGTTTCAGGTCCAGGTTTAAAGGGGGCTTGCGTTTATTTCCGGGATCAGGGTTCGGATTTATGGGGACCTTCGGCTTGATGATTATACGGACTGTTTAGAGTCCAGGGTTCGAGTGCGCAGTTCAGTCTGATCGATCTAACTTGCAGCCGTAGGCATGCCATTTAGTCTTTTGCCCCAAGTCCCATGATCCAAGGCCAGCTGTGAAATCTCCTCAACCCTAAGCCCCCTGAAGCAGCAGACCCAAGACCAGGTAAGGGCCATGTATAAAGAGCCTAAATTGCTAAAGCCTTCGAACTGTAAAGAAGCCCTGAATCCCAGGAGGAGGCAGCCCCAGAAGCAGCGGCGCCAACAGCCTCCGGAGAGGAGTTGCCCACAAGCGGCGACGCGGAGGTCGAAGCCGAAGGCCATGGTTGGGGGGGGATGCCTAATATTCTAGTATATACTTTAATATGGTATAATATACCATAATATACTATAATATACTAGAATTTCACCCCATTACCGTATAGAGTTGTGTTGATTGGAAAGTGAGGATGCCGCCTGGGCTTGCGCCTGTAGATTGAAGCTTCCCATGGGATTTTGACACTTTACCCACAGGAGGTCTTCAAGAAATTCCAGGTCAAAATCCCGGACTCACCTCCCCTTGAAATTCCTCCTGGAGGGTCGGGGGACTTAGTAACTGGTTATTTTAGGGACTTATAAGTACCATAACCCCAATCAGGGTCCCTTTTAGGGTACTTACAAGTCTACTTACTACCTACTTACAAAGTCCCCCGACCCTCCAGAGCAGGTCTCGGAGTTCCAGAGCCCGAACCTCCCTCCCCGGCACCGACGGTCGTGCCGCCGCGGGTGCTGCCGACACTGCCCTCCGTCACCTCGGCTCCGCCGGTGAGTTTGGAGGAAAGGTTGGCTCTTGGGCTGAAAACCCACGTTGCACTAGTTTCCGAATCGCTTGTGCCTGTGCGCAGGACCCTCGCGATCTTCGCAACCCTAGCAACTTGACAGTCCGAAACCTCCGACAACCAACTTTTGAGAGCTGAACCCGCCGGTGCTCCCTAAATCTCGGAGGGGTCTGTTGGGCCCCAAACCTTCCATGCCCGTTCGAGGAGTCCCCAGCTGACCTGGAGCCGGGATGCATCGTCCGGGCTTTCGGCTTGCAGAAAGCCCAGGCTGGAGCACAGGGCGTAAGGTTTGCAAAGTCGGGTCTTGAGCCCTGAGCTTCCGGGTTCTGGGTTTGTGGTTTGGAGGGGTTTTGGGGGTTGCGTATGAACCTGGGTCCGTGCATTGTTCTTTGGAGCTAGATGCTCTTATCAGGGGCATTCGAAGCTTTTTTTGGTTCGTGGCAGGAATGCCTCTTGGTGAATAATGTGCAAGCTGCCATTGCACGTACGAGAAGCTTTCGAGCCTTGTGAAGACTTTCGTCAGAAGCCAAGAAACGATTGAAGCCGTCAGAAACCGGCATTGAAGATTTGTCAGCAAAACCTTGGGGCTGCAGAAGCAGAGCGGAGGCACTGAACGGTCGCAAGGGCGTCGTTCGCGGTGGGCCCACTGATGATGGCCGATGGCAGGCAGCTACATTGGCGCCTTCGGGGCTGATGCATGTGGGGTTTAGAGCTTTCGTGGGCTGATGCATGCTCTCGCAGATGCTTGCTCTTCAACGCAGAGTTTTCTTATGTAGACTTTCACAGCCATGTGGCTTGGATCCGGATTGCGCAGTATTGGTTGTGAATTTTGAGTGTGAAAGCCACCTGGTTGAAGGTGGAGTTCTGGAATGACAGTGGCTCCTCTGTCGATGTGCTGCTTGACAGATGTGCAGACCGCAAACTCCCCGCCCCCCCAGCCCCCCCAAACGCCCCACGCCTCAAACCCTACACGGGTAGTTATCAAAATTAAGGTCCCTTTTTGGGTGCCCTAAATAATAGGTGCCGTACTATAATAGGGACCCAAAAGGGACCATAATTTTGACAACCACCCACACTCGAAAACACAAAATAGGAAACCTCCGGGGGGCGCCTCCAAGGAATGCCAGCATCAAGCGGGCGAACTTAGAGTGCTTAGAGGCCGCGCCAGCGCCAGAGGACCAGAGCGGAAAACCCGCCAAGCTTCAAATCCCAAATCCTTAACCGGTCTAGGGGTTTCTACGGATGCGGTTTTAGGGCTTTTAGGGTTTAGGGTTTAGGGGTATAGGGGGTTGAGGGGTAGATAGATTCGGACCAGGGCTTGCTATCGGAACCCTAAGCCCACCACGCTGGCGTTTTTATCAATCTCTGGGTTCACGCACTTGGAGTTCTCCAAATTCTTCAAGTCTTCAGGAAATCCTCTCAACAAACCACCCCTCCTGCATTGAACCCTAAACCTAAATCCTGAACCCAAAACTAACAGGAGCTTAACAGTCAAACGAAACCCTAAACCCTAAACCCTAAGTTTGTTGTAGCTGCAGGGTTGGGTCCAAAGGCTTCCTCAACTTTTGGGGTTTCGGACGCTAGTGCAGACGGAAAAAAGCCCATAAAAAAATTAAAAAAAACAAACAAACCTAAGTTTGACGGAAAAAGCTCGCCATGTTTTTCCAGGAGCCTGCAGCTGATTTTTGGCCGGGATGCATCGTCCGAGCCTTCGGATTGCAGAAAGCCCAGGCCTCCCCCGCAGGGCCTGCAGGTTTCGGGGGTTCAGGGTTCGGGTTTTAGGGGTTGTTAGGCGTTGAGGGTTGAATGAGGAGTTTTTGTGGGTTTAGGGTTTGGGTGTTTTTAGGGGTTAAGGGGTTTAGGGTTTCTGACTTGGGTTTAAGCTTTGGGGGTTAAGTTTTGGGGTTTCGGGTTGACGTGAGGTTTGGGGTTTCTGGTTTAGGTGCGCTACACGCAGACTTTGCGGCAGTACAACTCCTTTCTTGGAGGCTGGCTCTACGGTTTTGGCATGCACTTTCAGGGATCTTCGTTTAGTTTGTAGATCCTCTTCTTGCAAGGCCTCATGACGAATTGTGAGACAGTGTTGTTTGATCCCTGCAAGAAGGGGAGGACGCAGTGGACTAACCCAGCAGTCCATGTACTCATATAGTATATACATTGGCCTTAAAGTACTCTTCCTATATAGGTACATTGGGCCCGAAGTATATGCTATATGGGCACATGGACCCTTAGGGAAGCAGATCTTGCACCTGGAAGGCGCTCAATGGCCGAATGGGCATCGTGCGGGGTGGCCCAACTGGTGATGGCCGATGGCAGGCAGCTGCATCGGTGCTTTCGGGGGGCTGGTGAAGGGTTTTGGCTCTGGCAAAGGCTTATGGACATATGGAGCTTATAAACGCGGCTATTGAAAAGAGAGTATTTCTGCCAAGACTTCCAAATCAGTTGGTGTCGTCTTGTCTTGTCTTGTCTGGGGGTGTATTGTGTGTGTAGCTACTCCCCCTGTGGCACTGTCGCATGTCTTGAGGGCATATGGAAAGCACTTGGTGCAAGAAGGTGGAGTTCTGGAACGACAGTGGCTCCGCGGTCGATGTGCTGCTTGACAGAATGGAGCCGTTCATAGGGACTCGATGAGAATTTTTGTCCAAGATGTCGCAACCCTTGACACAACCTCAACTTCTCAATCCTAAACCATAAACCTTAGACAGACTCTGTGACTCTCTCTCTCTCTCTGTCTCTGTCTATGTGATCAGGGAGCAGCCAGTGCTTGCTGCAGGCCCAGTCCCAAACAGCCCCTCCGTCCTAAGGAACGCCAGCATTAAGCGCGAGAACTTGGAGCTGCTCGAAGGCGGACCTGATCAGGAGGACACGGATCAAAATTAACACCCCCTAGAGCGAAGGATTTCGAATTTCAGGAGGGGATTGGGGCTTTGTGCTTCGTGTCGCCAGCGCCAGTTTTGATCTTCAAGCACACTTTACAAGCATTACGAGTAGAAAGGGATCCTTTAGGATAGGGCGTCCCCCAAATGAGGAGCAGGACGTCATGGACAAGGGCGATGAGGAGGCCGCCGAGGCTCAAGATGTACAGGGCAGCGTGTAGAATAAGGGGCACGTGGGTTAGGGTGCAGGATCTCCAATACGTGAGCGCAGTTCCACGTCACTTCCAGTTTGCAAAACGCTACACAAGCCTCAAGTCCTGCCTCATCGTCATATCCCGACCCTGCGGACCCTAGTTGCCCGTAATTACCTCTATGCAGGACCAGCTTGTCCAAAGATCCCCTAGTAAAGGGCGCCTTATTCTGCGGTGCTTTTCTGCATTGACGTTGAAACCATAGACCCCAGAGGTCTTACAACCAGCGCCCGAAACCACAACCCCAACCCCAAACTTCAAACCCTCAGGCTAAACCACCCAAATTCTAAATCAATCCCATGAACTCCCAAGCTCCGAAACCCCCCAAACCCCACAAAGCAAACAGTGCACGTCGAGGCTTTGGCTCCGCCCGAAGATGTCTTCGAGGGGCTGGAGGCTCCGTTAAAGCAAGCCTTCAATGGCCCCGTAGAGGACTTTGAAACGGAGCTCTTAAATCAAAAGGGCCCCCCAACAGGAACAAGGGCTATTCCTGCACTCGGGAAGGTTTGAAGATCTCGGTACGGGTTTTTTCAAGGAAGGCCTTTGGGTCAAAACGGCGCAGGGCGAATTCGACGCTATAGGGATGAAAGTTATTACTGTAGCAGGCATCGAGTCTTTAGGGTTCATTGTTGGCCATCGAGAAATGTGGCCAAGTGATATTTCAAAACAAGGATGCAGGCCGGAAACGCCGAGCTTCAGGTAAGAGCCTGTGCAGTGAGCGCTTTCAGAGAAGGAGCTTCAAACTGACGGGCCATGAGAAGTAGAGCATTCCTGCAATCAGCTTTCAAAATCGAGTATTTCAGTGACGAGCCGTTGAATTCAGAGCTTTAAGCAAAAGAGCCATAGGAAAAAGAGCCTAAACCCTGTACCCAATGGTGCTTTCAACAAGGAGGAGCTTGTACAAGAGAAGGAGCCTGCCAAATCCGCAGCCCCAGAACCCTGAACCCTAAGCCCTGTCCCTGAAATATTCAAGCTGAAGCGCGACACCTTAAACCAAGGCCTCACACCCTAAAAACTAAGCCCTAATCCTAAAGCTTTTGAAGTCCGTAGAACCCGCCTTTCTTGAATGCACTTCCTACGAGCCGTTATAAGATTGCAAACGATGGAGCCTTATAGAGCCCTCTCAAGAGCCTTTTCAAGCCCTTGAGAATGAAACCCGAAGCCGTTAACCCATCCAGCTCTTCAAGCTTCAAACCCTTACGGCCTTCAGCACCCTGAAGGCCCTCAAATCCCGCAATTAACCCTGCACTCGAATTGCTTGCTACCGTGGTTACTACTGTCTGTTGTTATTCTTACTATTGCTGCTGCTGCTGCTGGTGGTGGTGGTGGTGGTTGTTGTTAGATTGCTTTGATATTTTTAGCAATATTAGTACGATTCCTATTTTTGATCTTATCATTGTTATTATTAGTAGTAGTACTATATATTCTTGTGGTTTCGATTATCCGTGTTGCTCTTTTTTGAGGAGACAAGCATAAAGCAGGTCGGGCCGGAAATCCCCGCCGAGCCAGAGCCGGCTCCTGGAAAGTTCGCCGCTCTCGAAGCTCGGGCTGCTTTTTGGATGATTTTTTATTTTTTTTTGGGAGGGGAGATTTTGTTTTGTTGCTTTTTTGTGGAGTAGGGTTCAGGATCTAGGGTGTAGGGTTCAAGGGTTTCGGGAGGGCTTTTGGGCTGTGTTGTTGGTTGCGATGTTTTGGAGGGGGGTGGGGGGGGTGGGTTAGGGATTAAGGGTTGTTTCTGGGTTTGCCTCGACCCCTGGGCTGGCAAGCCTGCACCTTTTGAGGCTTTACGCCCCCAAGGTCTGATTAGCCTTAGGCAGTAAGCCCAATGTTGTAGAACGCCTGAGATTATTCATGTTATATAATGATCGAAATAATCGCAATCATAGCAATAAAGAGCACGCATAGTGATGATGGTAAGAACAGTAATGATACTAATCATGGCCCTCTCCTGGAGCCTGGCAGTGTCTTGCCAAGGATTCGAATGAGCTCCAGGCGGCGATCCTGCAGGCACCTGAACCCCTACACGCGTACACCATGAAGTTATGAACCCGTAAGTCCGTAACCTCGCGAACCACAATGCCTGCAAATTGTAGAGGTTCCTTCATCGTTGCCGTGCTAGAAGAGACTAAGTAAGAGTCGAGAGTCCTAAGCCGAAGCTCAACACCAACCTTGACAAACAATCGGGGTTTGGATGGCCCTGCACAGATTGGCCCAAGCCCCTGAAGCATCCTGAACGCAGTGATGGAATAGGCTGAGCCTACAAGCATCTCGGTTTCGGGTTTCGCTCACTCCAGCGCTTTTTACATTGAGCCCACCCTTGAACCCTGCACCGCGAAGCTGGAACTTCCATCTCCAAACCCCACAAGTCTCTTTCCGTGTATATATCCATCTATCCATCTATCTCTCCCTCTCTATATATATATATATATAGACACGCACGCACACACACACACACAAAACCGATACGGTACATCCAGAGCTCCCAACAGAGAGCCCAGATTTTTCCCTCCGGCCTCTACTTTAGTGCGAGGCCGAGCTGTGCTGCGATGACGAGACTCTCCAAGGCTCCATCGCGTTTGTCTCAAGGGGGAGAGGGCGTTCGATGCCAATAAAGCCCGGGTTTCAGGATGTTTTAGGATCCAGGATTTGGAGTTCCAGGTTTTGGGTTTTTTAGCATGAGTTCAGAGGGTTTATAGGGCTTAGGGTTCAGTCAGCATGGGACCCCTGAACTCCTCAACTTTCCGAGAGATGAAAGTGCCAGGCTTGCAGGCAGAGCTTGCGCTCCGGCAAGTCGCTCGGCGGACGGACGACTTCGTCCGACGCAAGCACGGGGCTGCGGTGTAGGCTTTGCCTTCATGGGCTACTTACTATATTCAGGTTACTTACTATATTCAGGTTACTCACTATATTCAGGTTACTTACTTTTATTCAGGACACTCCAAACTTCCTAATGAAGCAGACGGATCCATACCGAGGCCAAAGGCACCGACGGTGGCCGAGAGTCCGCCACTGTGGCTGCAGAAGAGCTGTCAGTCGCGCATGCTTCAATTCTGGGTCTAGGGTTCTTGTGTTCTGCGGTCTGTCTCTCTCTCTCTCTCTCTATTTTTCTTTCTCTTTCTCTCTCTTTCATGGTTTTATGAGGGCAATGATCCATTCAAGGAGTCTTCAGAGCCCGGTCAAGAAGCTCAAAACATGCCGGTTTAGGGTCTAGCGCTCAGGGTTTAAGGTGTTGAGGTGTTTGGTACTTGACTTGGCTCCCCTCTACGGTTTCGAGAGCAGTACACTAGGAGAAAGCAGTACCCGCGAGTGGGTATTAAAAGAAATGTCAGTTGCCAACAGCGATACACCTTGCACCCCAAAACCTCCAGCTGATGCCTTGGATTCCCTAAACCCTGAACCCTAAACCCTGAACCGTAAATTGATAATTTGCCTTGGCCTTAGGCCCCGAACCCTCACTCCCCGACCCAAAGAGCAGCCGTTGAACCAGGAGCCCGTTGCTAAAAAGCCCAAACCCTCTAAACCCCAAAGCCACAAGCCCTGAAACCCTAAACCCCTACTCCCTAAACCCCTAAGCCCCCAAAGCCTTAAATCCTTAAATCTACTGTGGAGAGGCTAGCCTGAAGAGCTCGAGGAACCCTGGCCGGCCTAAAGCCCTAAACCCAGTGAGCCTTAAGAAGTACCTATGCTATTTTGGGGGTTGCTTATTTCAATTATAGTATAATGGGCCCCAAAACCCTATTTTAATTATGAAGGCCCCTACACTATAGTACCCTTATAGATCCCTTACAGACCCCTTGAAGGAACCCTTCTAATTATGAAGGCCCGTACCTTACCGTAAAACCCAGTGAGCCTTTGGAGGTCAAGGGGGCGCAGTGGGTCCACGAGTCGGTAGACGTGCCGGTGGAGGCGCGGGCCAGGGAGATGTAGTAGTAGCAGTAGCAGTAGCAGTGGCAGTGGCAGTGGCAGTGGCAGTGGCAGTAGTAGTAGTAGTAGTAGTAGTACTACTACTACGACTACTACTACTACTACTACTACTACTACTACTACTACTACTACGGCTTGGAGCTTCAGGGTTTTAGGGTTTCGGGCTTAGTGTTTCTGGGTTCAGGGTGTCTCCGGGTTGAGGGTTTAGGGTTGAGGGTTTAGGATATTGCATTGTGTTGTATTGGAAGATGGTGTATTATATTCTACACTACTATAGTATGTTATGATATACCATACTGTGTTGTATTGACATTGTGGCATTGCATTGTATCATCTTGTATTGTAGTTTATGATATGGTACAACATGAGAGTGTTTGATATTGTTTTGTAACATATATTGACATATGTATTGTATGAAAATTATACTTTATATTAGACTATATTTATTGCATCGGAGCTGCAAGGCCTCGACTTTTGATCTCCCTACAAAAACCCTCCGAAGAAGTCTCGAGGTCGTGGGTGGGGTGATCGGCGCAGGGGGCGCCACCATCAAAGCGATGGCCGCCGAGCCTGGGGCCCGGGGTTCTAGGGTCTTTGTCTTTGGGGTTTAGGGTTTAGGGGTTTGTAGGGTTCCTTTAAGGGTTCTTTTAAAGGGCTCTATAAGGGGTCTTTAGGGTTTAGGGTTTAGGGCTTAGGGTTTAGGGTTTGGGGGTTTAGGCTTAAGGGTTTTAGGGTTCAGGGTTGTTGAGAGTGGGTTGGGGGGTGGGTAGTTGCGTGTGAGGTTTGTGACTTGAAGGTTTAGGGTGTCAAGGTTTAGGGTCGCAGAGTTAGTTTAGGTAGAGTTCAGGTTTTAAGGCTCAGGGTTTACATTTTAGGGTCGCCTTCTTAAGTTTAAGAAGAAAGGTACACTTTAGATGGCCCGGAAAAAGACAAAAGGGGACTCTTGCGCGATACCGTTTATCAGTCTTGAAACGAGCACTCATGGTTTGGGGGATTTGGCTTGTTTCTACACGGCTGCAGGATCGTTTGGCGTTGATGTAGGGTCCAGTAGGGTTGTAGTGCTAAGCTCCGAGGATTTAATATGTAGGGTTTAGGAAACGGGTTTTGGCCACTTGATTCGTCATAAACCTTACGATTTTGCCGAAGTTAGTCCGTTTTGTAACCGACAAGGATTCACTCAGAGCAACTTTCGGGTGATAGAGCCTGGGAGCTGGTTATAAGGTTACAGGGCTCGGAGTTTCCGGTAGTTGGTAGTTGGTGTATGTTTTGGGGGACGGAGGGGTGCCAGGCTATTTATTGCTCTAAGGTTGCCTATAGGATAAGGATACCCGGTTAGGAGTTTTTGACCAAGATCCGTGAGATCCCCGTGTTGGGGCCTGGTGCAGTAATTCTCGAGGCGTGACTCCGCGCCTGCCATACCCTGTATCCCTCAATTCCGGGAGAGTTAGGAAACGGCTCGTTTTGCGAGGTCCGGTGCACGGATGTGCTTCCAGCGTGACGAGGATTCGCAAAACGGCGATGCAGGCGGGTCCCTATCAATTCAGTAGATTGACCTGGTGGTCTCCGACATCAAGAGACAGGCCCAGAGGATTATACATACATACATACATACATACATACATATATATATATATATATATATATATATATTATATATATATACGCACACACACACACACATTCTTATGAAATTGGGCCCAAGCAGCACAATGGGTTTGCTTTTTTTTGTCTTTGTGCGTGCGAATCCATAGTGGCCATAGTGGTATGGTCGCGTACATTGCACATGGAAAGTCTAGAGTACTCACAAGACATTATGATCCCTACTATGCTTAAAGACATGTTGCTTGTCGAAGGATACTGTTCCTGCATTCCGAGTTCAACTTTACACCAAAGCTTTTTTACCGGGAAGACATCGGCCATATCCTATCCGTTCCGGTGATAGCGATGTTTCTGACCAAATTCACTGAAGCTCATATCTGTACCCGAAATCGAAGCGGAAGTTGAGGGTTTCATTGTCGAAGGTTTCCTGTCCCTCACCTTGTCGCGCCCCTGCCTCATCAGCGGGCCCGCAGAAGCCGTGGCCAAGGCCGGATGATGCTTCAGTTCGGACCCTTTTTTTGGCGGAAGAATCTTAGGTGTACTTAGAAATATTTGTTAATTTTTGGTTATTATAATCCCTAAGAAGCAGCTAAAATTACAATTTTTGCTAGGGTTCTAAGTTCAGTATAGGAATGATACAGGTTGACGATCACTAACTATGGGTTCAGTGTAACATTTGGGTGACAGTCACGGATTTGTAGGTTTTGGAGTTGAGGGGACGTATTTGAAGTGATTCGGGCTTAGTCTCAAAGGAGGGGTCCACTTGGGATACCACGGCCTTTCAGCCAATTTTTGATAAGAGTTCCTTCGCTTGAAAGGCCAAGACTTGGCCTTCACGCACTAGCTGATGCACACCAGACTCGATGAAAGATCTAAGCCGACTCCCCCCTTGGGGGTATCCTGCACCTTAGTATGGGCAATATAAAATATTACCATCCACTAGACTAAAGGGTTAGGGTTTAGGGTTTAGGGTAGCCCTAAACCCTAAACCGTAGTATGAACATCTGGCTTTTTGATCCTTACCCCCCCCCCGTCGCGAAGGCCAAGGAGCTGCTCCAGCAGACCATCGCGGAGTGCGGCCAGAGCCAGGCGCCCCTGCGGAATTGAGGACATACTTGGAGGTTCATGGGTAGTTACAAGGGTTCCTTTAAGGGCCCCTTTAAAGGCATCTATAGGGATTCTATAGGGGTATAGGATTTAGGGTTTACTTGGAGGTTCATGGGTAGTTATAAGTAGGGTTATAAGTAGGGTAACTATACTTATAACCCATATTCGGGGGCTTATAACCCTACTTATAACTACCCATGAACCTCCAAGTACCACGCGTGATATCGGGGTTTAAAGAATTACCAGTACTGTTTCGGGGGGTTCCTATTTCAAAGTTATAGGGTTTAGGCGTCCTAGATAGTTACGGATACTATTTGGTACCGTTTTTACTGCTTAGGGGTTTGGAAAGAGTACACCTCAAGATTATAAGAAGGAACAGTATCATGAGTGCACTCCCAAAGGGTCTTCGGTACGGTCAGGGGTTGTTTCTTCGCCAAATCAGAATAGTATTTCCGAATACACAAACCCTACATTCTACTACATAGGTAATTTGGACCCTTTGGGACTTCAAGACTGTAAGAAGGAACGACTTATTGAGCAGCGGTGGAGTCTCTTGATACCCCAAACCCTACACCCGAAACCCCTAAACCCGAAACCCCTAAACCCTAAGCCCCTCAACGCTTAATCCTTGAAAATCCGAAAAGTTCACGGCGAGAGCGCACTGAGCTTCTGTGCCTGCCAGGGACGGAAAGGCAAAGGGAAAGGCAAGGGCCAGCGTGCAGGTCTCAGTAAGAGGGGTTTAGGGTCTAGGGTGTAGGGTACAACCATGCAGCCCGCTTTTGGGGAGACCTTGTCGTACGGCGCTGACTATTGAGAGGGTTCCTTATAGGCAGCAGTTTACCCTTGAGATGAAGAAAGCAGGTTAGAGTGAAGGGTTGTCGCTATAGGAAAAGCTAGAGGGAGACAAAGCCATAAAGGAGGAGTCTGATTGGGAAACCCCGTGTTGTTTGTTGGCTTCCAACATGGATCCCTGATTTCTTCGGTGCTTTGGAACCAGGGGTGTAGTGAAACGTTGCACAGCCGAGTTTCACCTTGGCGGTAGAAAGTCTGGATGTTCCTACCCTAGACCCTAAACCCTTTACCTTTACCCTAGTTAAAGGTCCATCTTGTTGGCTCCTTTGCATCAATCCTGGCACCAAAATCTGACACAAGACTCATCTTGCCAGCTTTTTGGCTTTGACCACTTACCTGGTTTCGAGACTTCTGAAGCGCTAGAACAAGGCTCTCAAGCCCAAAGCCTCATCTAAAATACGGGTGCCTCTCACATTCTCTACCTGCTCCCGAACCCCTAAAGCCTTAAGCCCAAATCCAAAATCCAAATCCCTACGTCAGAACCGGCATACATTTTGAATGCTCTTACTACTCTATTATTGTCTTACTACTCTGATTGTAATGAGAATACTATTCTTCTGATTCTTGCTCTTCGCCTTCGCAGCTCTCTTTACCGAGGCAAAGGGACGCCTGCGAACTTAGCTTCGGACGTCATCTCGCAGGGGGCTGGCGCTCGTTACCCGGCGTCCAAGAGTGAGGGGTTCTTGTGGGTTTCGAAGCTTAGGGTTCAGAGAATTGCTGGTGAGATTCGGTCGTCAGTTTCACTAACGGTTTGAGCGTAATAGTGCGCGTGCTTTTCAGCTTTGGGGTTTCGGGATCCGACTTTTGGGGTTAGGGGTTCTAGGTTCCAGGATTTAGGGCTGACGGCTTACAGCTTCAGGGTTGAAGTTTAGGTTCCACGATCAAAAGAGCAGACGCCCCACTCCTTTGCGTTGGCGGCTTCTGGGGAACGGGCTCTTCAATCACTCAAGAAAGTCATGGCATTGCTCGGGGCGAATCGTCAGTGCTGACTTGGCAGTTTCCGAAATTGGGGGTACCTTATTTTGGGGTCCTTACAATAAGGATCCTACTATTGAGGGTGCTATATTAGGATCTCCTATTTTCTGAAACTGGGGGTAGCATATAAGAAGGATCCTACTATTTAGGGTGCTATATTAGGGTCCCCTATTTTCGGAAACTCCCATTTCTTGTCTCTTGATTGTCTTGCTCGGGATCGACTATAGGACTCAAAGATACCGATGGTGCTGATCCGCTCCTTCGGAAGCCTCCAAATCCCCAGACAAACCCACCTTTCCACAAATCGAAGAGGGAGGCTGAGCGGCTGAGAGTTTCAGAAATGGAGTGTCCAGAATGCATCTGCCCACGTATCGGGGGCAGCGCAAGCGTTCTTTTTTTGCCAAGGAGCTGGGTTCCAGTGCGGCATCTGCAAGTGGTGGCCCGACCTTATCTTGTCCAATCTAAGTTACCATAGCCATAAGGGGGTTTCCGAAAAGTCGGGGTCCCTTAGTTTGGGGTCCTAAAAAGGGTACTTTACTAGGGCCCCCTATTTTCGGAAACTCCCATAACGGGGAACTGAAGCTATAGTCACTTAACACTCGGCTTTGCTCGGCATGGCGATTTGGGTTCTGTGACATCCAGAGGAGTCGCTAGCGCATATTGGCATAGGGACCCTTGGGGGCGGTGCCTTATCAGGAACCCCCCCCCTAAGGCTCCTTATGATGTTGGCATATTGCCTTTAGTTTCTGCCATGACCTTGTAGCATTTCTTTGTGTCCTTCTCCCAACTCTTTTGCGCTTCTCAGGGCTCCTTCGGCTTTCCATCAGCCGTTCAGTTCACAGCGAGCCATTTTCAGACAGGGCTGAGAGTTGGTTTGGTGCATTTCCGTATCTGCTCTGCATGGCAAGGGCTTTGAAGTTACCATCGGTCTCTTCTTTCTGAGGCTGAAATACTGGAGTTGCGAGCTTGAGCGAGGGAGATTCTGGCTTGAGGGCCAAGAGCCCTCAGTTTGAGATCTGCAAGAACCTGTAAACACCTAAAGTCCAAAGCCCCAAAGCCCAGAACCTCAAGGTCCGAACCCTGAAGTAAGGTATGCTGCAGGCTTCTGCCGCAACCGTGCAGACGAGACGGGGGCCTGCAGAAACGGGCCCGAGCCTCTGTCAAGCGAGGGGTCCAGGCTTTCAACGGTTGTAAGTGCCCGAGTTGGGTTCAGGGTTTAGGCCTTTGGGATCATAGGCTTTAGGATTCTAGGTTTAGGGTTCAGGGGTTTACGTAGGATTTGGGGTTGAGCGGTCTTGGTCGGAGCTCCCCTTTTCGGGACGAGCTCTTTCTCGCCCTAAGCTGCGTCGATTGTTCAGATGTAACGAAAATCGTTTTACCTATAGGCAACGTGCTAAGTCTACTGATGGTTTCAGCAGCTGAGGTTGGTTCATGTGAATTTGGAATTCATGTTGGTGACTTTGCGTAGCTTCGGGAGCTCTTCACCCTCACTCCCAACCGAGTATCATGTTCGTAAGGCCATACCAACTCATGTCTCCATTGTAATCCCGAGTTAGAACCTAAACCCCGAACCCACCCTGCATTTTCTGTTCGTGTTTTCCTAGAACGTTCAATAACTTGGCGTGCGGGCGTCTGAGGCTCCACAGCACGGAGGCAGCGCTGAAAGCCGAGGCGTGGCTGAGAGTTGAACGAATTGACGTCCTTTCAGGGTTTTGGGGTTTAGGGTTTGGGAGTTTAGAGGGCCTCCTGAACCCTAAACCCTAACCCCTAACCCTAAACCCTCTAAACCCCCTAAACCCCTAAACCTCCTAAGCCCCCCTAAGCCCCCTAAAGCCCTCTAAGCCCCCCTGAGCCTTAAACCCTATAACCTTAAACCCCCTAAACTGCCTGAACCCCCTAAAGCCCCTAAGTGGGAGTTTTGTCAAACCCAAGCCCTAAACCCCCTAAACCCCCTAAACTGCCTGAACCCTCCAAGCCCCCCCCCACCCCCCCAAGCCCCCTTCGGCCAGTCCGACTGGATCGCCGCCGGCCCGGCCGCGGCCCAGGCCGCTGAGGCGAAGAGGCGCCCCTAAAAGCATGCTTTCTTTGGGGGTTTCGGGAGGTTTCTTAAACTAAAAATAGAAGGTTTACAGGGTTTATAGGGTTTCTAGGGTTTATGAGGGTGTAAAGGGCGCGTTTTCTTTGGGGTTTCGGGAGGTTTTTTTCAGTTTTGGGTTTTGGGGTTTCGGTGGTTTCTTACAGTTTTTGGTTTTAGAGTGTTTTTGAGGTTTGATTTGGGGGTTTCGGGGGTTTCTTACACTTTTGGTTTTAGTGGGTTTATGAGGTTGTATTTGGGGTTTCGGGTTTTTTCGGGTTTAGAGTTTAGGATTCAAGGTTTGGGGTCCCCTTGACATTGAGATGTAATGTATTGTTGGATTTGGCGCTTAAGTCTCGGAACCGGACGCTTGGGATTTATGTGCCGTGTTGAGGTCGCTCGGTCGGGCTCACAGTGCTGCATGTTGAAGATTTTGGTGCGACACGAGAGGCTAATTAAGGGCTGTCTGTTGAAGTCTGTAGACGGCACCTGCATCGTTCCCAAAGGGACTCAGGCCCCCAACCCCCCCCCAAAAGCCGCAAACCCCAAAGGCCCTAAAGCCCTCAAGCCATGAAGCTCTAATAAGCCAACGAAGGCCCCGAGCCGCAAAAGCTCCCCGAAGCCTAAGCTCTCGGAAAGCACCGCGCTCTCCTGTTCAGGCCGATCCTGCTGGTGCTCGACTTAGAGGGCGGCGGCAACCAGGCTCGGGCCTTGGCAAAGCACTTTTTGTATGTTTAGGGAGTTCGTGTAGGTGCATTTGTTACGTGTATGTTCGATAGTAATGAAAAGGCAGATCGACAGACAGAGTGGCAGACGGGCAGATCGATAGATAGATGCCAAAAGATAGAATCAGATAGAAAGCGTGGATAGAGCAAGTTCATGGCTCTGGCGACTCACGTGCAGCCGCTGCCATGTGTTTCATATGCTTTATACGGCGAAGCCCAGGCACACAGGGGAAGCCCCAAGAGTCTGAGACTCCAAAGCTGAGGAACGTGCGGACACTTCACCTCAATATCCTGTTATTTGCACGGAACATACAGGACAACCTGTAACAAGCTACATGAGGAACCTTCTGCGAACTATAGCGATGGCGAATCCTTAGTGTGGCATCCTAAATGAAGGGTTTTTGGTGAATCCCTAGCTTTGGCGCATTGCCACGCGCGAAGGACGGCAGAGATGGCGAAGACGAGATCATCGAAGTTCCCGCCTGAGCATCGATAGTCGGTTTGCGGCTCAACGAAGGAGCAAAAGTAGTGTGCACGACGATGGACCCGCATAATCAAGCTGACAAGTGCATGTATGCACGAATCTACCGAGGTGCCGGTGCTCTCGATGTGTCCCGCCACCGGGACAGCTTGCACCGGGCAAAGGCAAACTAGGAAGTATGTAGGACGTAGGCGTTTAAGCTATTCTACAATACATATTCCCACGGCATTGCAACTGTTGCTGCAAAACTACCACACTGACACCCGACCTAATGAGCTGTTTGTCTGGTAAAGCTCGGCCTCAAGCTGTGGCTTGGATTTCGGTTTGGGGTTTCCGGTCTAAATCCGTCATATGAATATTTGAAGGCCTGCACAGGTAGGGAGTCGCTTGACCCCTTGGAGGTCACAGGCCTGTTGGGTTGAAGGCAGAAAAAACAGTTGGCTCTCTGTTTATGCTTGTGTTACGGCGGTCTGAGCAATTCTGTGGTGCTGATGTAGTAATATCGTTGTCTACCTCAAGCCCTGCTTTGGTTTTATTCATTAAGGTCTCTATACATTGTGTGACCAAAAGGTAGATACTGCACAGAAAAACTTCGCAGATACCAGGCAGGAAGGGACAACTTCCTTAGATTTCACCCCCCTCAAACTTCCCAAAGGCTTAAAACTAAACGTCCTTTTAAAGCCCTAAACCCTAAACCCTAACCCCCACTTAAAAAAGAATTACAAACCCCTAGACCCTAGGCCCTGCAGCATTGAAGCCCCAGGCTTCCTGCTTGCTTCTGCCAGGACGGAGCTCGGAAGATTCCACCGCTTCGCCAGACCTGGCTTCTGGGTGCGCGAGGCCGGGAATCTTCGAGGTTACTACATGGATTACAAAAGCTTAAATTCCCCTATTTTGAAATAGAATAGTATATAGAGTCCCTATAATGTCGTTATGAGTGTGATCTCCCGCAATGGTCTGTTGAGTCTTCATGTCATTATAGAAATCATCTCCCAGAGTTGCCCAGGCCCCTTCTGTTAGAGGAGTGCCGGGTTGGAAATCGGGCTCGATGCGCTCGAAACATTCGGGTTTTTGTAGGATTTATGCGGTCCCCGAAAACCCTACTGCAGTAGCGGTCCCCCGTATCGGCAAAGCCACGGAACAGTAGGTTATGAATCCCTAAAAGGGGTCATAACCAACTATTTCGTAGGGTTTGGGGATACAGGCGAAGCGAATGAGCAAGAATTTGTCCCCGTTGCTGTGTTGAGGCACCGCTTTGACTTGAGAAAGGTAGCTTTCCTAAGCTGTAGACCAATATAATATGACATAATGATGCACAATTTTGTACTGTGCCACGGAATGTAGCGTAATCTACGACGATATCCATTATGGTATAGTTGACTGTCGAGAGGCTGCCTCCATGCGGCAGCGCTTCCACGTCAACTGCTTCAACGATGGCGCGAACTCCATTCCCTTCCCGGAGGTGCGGGTGCCTTAAACTACCATGACCTGTTTTTTGGAGGCTCGTATGCTAAACCCAAATATGGGATTTACAGGGATCCTACAAAAAAGTATTATTATTGTAATACTAGTAATAATAGTATTAATAGCAATAATTATATATATATATATATGTATATAGATATATATAGATATAGGTCTTGGTAGCTTCTCCTACCAAAAAGTAGGTTTTGGTAGGTTCAGGGTACTCCTTACTCGCGTCAGGGATCCTACAAAGAAGTAGGTTTTGGTAGCTTTAGGGTACTCCTTACTCGCCTCAGGGATCCTACATAATAGTATTAATAGCAATAGTTACATAATTATATACCAATTATATATAGGCCTTGGTAGCTTCAGGCTACACCTTACCAAAGCCTCTTGTACTTGTGCCAGAGGTGGTGGAGGCCATGCAGCACTGGCTCCGAGATCTTCTCGGGCTGGCGCCAGAAGAGGAGTTGAGGCCAAGCTTGGGGGCTCTGAGGGCCGTCTGAGGGTATAGGATGCTGGGAATTTTGGTCAGGGACACTTTATACTACATTTTAGGGATATTTCAGGGTGTTTTCGTGATACTTTAGGTGTCTTTTATTTTATATAACTGGAGCCACTTCAGGGATGTTTAGGCTTTGAGTTTCGCAACTGAGGGCTTCCAGGGCGAGGGTTTCGGGTTTGGCGGTTTTCAGGCCCAAGGTGCGAAGGAACCCTCGGCTCCGAACCCTCAGAAGCTCAGACCCTGTTAAAGGGAACTCCAGAAAGTTGGAATATGGTTTCAGGGTAGGATACCTTATAATTTACCATAAAGGGTTTAGGATAACCATCTTCCAACTTTCTGGCTTTTACTTTATGGGAGTTTCCGAAAAATGGGGGTACCTTATTTGGGGCTCCTTATATTAAGGATCCTACTATTTGGGGAGCTATAAAAGGGTCCCCTATCTTCGGAAACTCCCATATGGGTAGTTCTTCGAATTGGGGTCTTTCTTATAAGGGTGCCGTACTATGTTGGGGACCGAAAAGGGGAGCCTAATTGAGAGAACTACTTACATGCCGACAGAAAGCCAGCTTCTATGCCAGGCGCCTGGACGATCAATACCTTTAACTATCTCTTGGCCCAAGCGCAACACCCAACAACCCAAATCGTTCAGCAAGGCCCTATAAGCCCTAAGCTGTCAAATTGCCTGTTTTGGAAAGCTTGGCAAGGGTGTCAGCTGTGATTTAGGATGTTGTAAAGACGAAGGCATTGTAGAGGCTGCCGCGCAGAAGGCCATTTATTTGTTTGCAAGAGGATGCCTTCACGATCAACCTACACGCATTGCCAGCACATTGCTGTACCAAAGCATCACCTGATGTCTGCAAGTTCCAAATCCCTGCCCTGGATGTTTCAAGCGAAAGCACAGAATTCAAGGAGCAAGCCAACCCCCTGACCAGAATCGCGATCTCCCAACAAGATAGTAAAGGGGCATTAATAATTAGAATAGGGTTTTCGAGCTCATTATATATACTCTAAAGATAACAGGGACCCCCCCCAAAAAAACAAAAATGGATAACACAACATAGTATTGCAAATTATCTAGGCCCCCAAAGATACTTGAATGGCCAGGCAGGATTCTTTCCTGTTCGTCACATGCGGAAATTGGGATGTCTCCTGGTTGAATTGTTTCTGAGGTCGTGGTCTATTGATTATGGGGACCAGTTGCAATGTAGTCATTCGGATTGAATGGCCTCAGCGGTGTGGGCTTAGTCGGCATAGCTTCAGGATTGGAAGTTGGGTCAGGGGTCTACGATCTAAGTGTCAGGGAATTTTGGGCCAGGACTATTTTGCATCTTTCCCATGCCTGTACCCAAAACGTCCAAAGCCCCGCCCAAAAACCTCCATGCCCTACACTAAACCCTGAATTTGAATCCACTTCCTTAAACCTAAACGTCCCACCACCTTAAGCCTAAAGCTTAACCCAACACCCCAAGCTCTTAAAGCCCTCAGAACTTCTCTACGGAAGTCTCCCAAGGTCAAGACGGCCATTCCGAGGCAGTGCAACAAGCCTTTCCCAGGCCTGCACGGCACCGTTTCAGGAAGATGCTTTAGGGCTTAGGGGTGGGACCGCTACACTTGTTACTTTCCGTAGGAGTACACACATGTGTTTTGCATTTTTCGGGTCTGGCGTCCGCATAAGAATGAATGTGAGCAAGATGACTCTGTTTTTTGTGGTTGCCTTGGAAGCTTGAGTTGCTCCACGCCTGTATCATGCACATTATGTTGCAATCTTGCGACAGTATGCTTTTTGTGCATGTCGCAAGAACTGGCTGCGGTTTCGGGCAAGTCATTGGTGAAATGTTTCAAAGGTCATATCGGACATGTGCAGTTGCGCCCACTGGATCCGAACTCCCATACCCTGCGCCCTAAACCTGAAAGCCACAAAGCTGAAAACCCATGCAGGTGCTGTTGACTTCGGTTTGCAGCAGCTGCTTTTCTCCCGGTGGACGAACATCAAAGAGGCCAAGGGTCAGGAATCACCATGAGCATATCCGATGAACGTCAGCAGCTCGCGATCATGCATACCGGTCGCACACTTTAAGGTTTAGACCCCGGAAATCGTGGAAGTTGAAGGCTGAGGGTGTACAATGGAAGCTTAGACCATTTCCCACATTTTTTAACCACCAGATTTCCTTGTTAATCTACACTATAAGGGAGCCCGACGCCTTGTAAGGCCCAGCCAGTGGGCCCCTCAGCCCGGCACTTTGAAGAGGTTTTCAGAGACCACTTCAATCTCTCCGATGCCGATGCCCCGACGGGAATGCGCGGCATGCTCAAGCGCTTGAGGCCCGGGCTCGGGGCATGGGTGGGAGGAGGGTTGCAGCTCAGGGAGTCGAGTGGTGATCCCTCAACCCCAAACCCCTTAAACCCCAAAGCCTTAATAAACCCCTAGTTAAACCCTAAACCCTACGACCTTATAAACCCCTAAACCCTAAACCTGATGATGGGGTGATTGGCGGCTTTTTGTCGGAGCTTGGGGCTTTCATCTCAGCTGATTCGGCCTTGAGGTCCCCACTGGACTGCCGGGTTTCTTGAGTTCGAAGGCCTAGGAACCTCAAGGTGTAAGCCCATGGCCGACAGCCCCAGACCCCCAAAAAGCCTCGACTAAATCGTAATGGAAGCATGCAGCATACTGATCGACCCTACACCTTCATTTTTCGTCCCAAAAGCCCGAAACTCCTAGACCTCAAGCTCGAGATCTGATAGCTTTGCGGACCTCTCAGCCTCGATGGGCCCGGAGAGTTTGGAAACTGATGGGTTGAAGTTGGGAGTTTATGGCATTGAGATCTTGGGGTTCAGGCTGCACGGTTGAGGCTTAGGTGAATCGGAGATCGAAGGGGATGTCGAAAGGACTTCAGCTGGTAAGAAGCCCAGGCAGGCAAAAGCCCGTAAAACTCGGGCCCCAGATCCAAACACCGACCGCAGAAAGGCGAACTCTAAACTGCTGATGCTCACCGCAGGATGCCGCTGGCCGGACAGCATCACTTAGGTGCGCGCCCTAGGGTTTCGGCCTCTGGACATGAAGCCAAGTGGGCTGGAGTTTGGGGGGTTTTGGTGATCTGCTACAAGTTGTGCAAAGCGCCAAATGTTAAACTTTAGACTCTAGAGTTGACGTGGTCGCTTGGTCGTTTCTTACAGCGGTCCTTGGCGACCACTGAACTTGAACTCACGAGTGAGGTATGACTCCAATTTCGAGTTTCAACCTGCCGATGTAGTTTTTGTGTGTGTGTGTGTGTGCGTGTGTGTGTGGTGTGTGTGTGTGTGTGTGTGTGTTACAAGGGAGGGACTCTGTTTGAAATTGTCGGCGTCTTTGCGAGCTGCTGCAGATCTCCCGTCTTCCAGGCATGGACGATGTGAGCAACATCGCCAAGATCCTGCAGCGGCTGATCCGCGACGGATGCAGCATCAAAGCTACAGGCCTCGTGGCACAGCTTAGGACAAGACAATAGAGAGATGAAGCCGAACTTTTTTTGAAAATTGGGGAGATTGCTCCACACATCCACATCGCCAAAGTCTTCCAAATTTGTCCGACAGCTTAGACGGACTCCCTACTTGGACGGGCCTAAAGCCATCGCTTCGTCTAACTCGGACTCAAACCGCAAAGTTTGCAACAGCGGGACCCTACGGCACAAGGCCCCGTACCAAGGAGACTCTTCAGAAGTGGAATGAAAGTTTCTCCATCCCCGAAGCCCTGCCCTCACTTCTGCGTTACCCTCCCCCCCCTCTCGCCCCCCCCAGAAAAGCAGCTGAGCCCAGCGCTCCTCGACATCCTTTCTGGGAAAGGCCAAGCCTCCTTGAAAGTGCCTGGGCCAATGAAGGGTGGCTTCAAAGGCCGGTTTTGGGCCTCGGGGTCTGCTTTGAGAGTTGTTTTTGTCTGGGATCGCTTTGAGAGTCTTTTGCTGGGTTTTTTAGGGTGCGTCGTCCTGGTAGGACTCAGGGTCGTCCCAGCTTGATGCAACATCTGTCTTCATACGGCTGGATGCTATCGGAAGGGTTTCCTCGTTTGGGATGCTGTCTGGCTTTGCAGGCTAAACCCTGCACCCCTAAACCCCCGAACCCCAGAGCCCTCGGCTGCGAACGCAAATCCGAAAGCCTCAAGCCTGGCTTCCCTCATGGAGGCTTCGGAAAGGGCAAAGACAAGGGCAAAGACAAGGGCAAAGGCGGCAAAGGCAAGGACAAGAAGGGCAAGGCAGGGCTGCGTAGTCCAAGATCTTCGAGCTGTGCTTTGGGTTCTTACACTTTCGATTTCGCGGGCTGCGGGCTTGTGTTGTGGTGACTGTTGTGCGTGTCAGGCGCTTTCCCTGTATGCAGAGATCATCATGTCGATCCAAAGAGTTGACTGAGTCCCACTGTCGGACAATAGCAAGCACGGAACTCCGGCGAAGCAGCGGTGCAGAACGGTTTGTGGCCCGAATTCTGAATTTGCCGAACAACCCACACAAGGCCCCGACACGCCCTTGCATTTGGGGATCACGTTGCACTCCTTCGCTCTCAACTTTATGCCGTTGCATGCTCACCCCAAGAGCCCTTCATCCTTCTGGGCTGAAAAAAACTTGATTCTACCCTGAGCCCCAAGCTGTAAACCCAGAATCCCATGCATGTACCTCCCGTAAACCCGAGGATAAGCCCGAAACCCTAAATCCCTAATCCCTAAATCGCTGAACCCCGGAACCCTAAACCTCACAGCCTCAGTTCTTTCATTTCTTTGCGAGGGCTTCTTCAGCGAGATGCCGCCACCGCAAGGCCGACGATGCTATAGGTTTTTGTCTTCGGAGGAGAATGAACACGCAAATGTGACTAAATGCGAGAAACACTTGAAGTGTGTCCGAGGGTTTTGCTAAGCTTGGCTAGGGTGTGTAGGGTTACAGGCATTGGGGTGTAGAGGGCTGGAAAAGAGACGATTACATAAGGGGCGATGATCTCGCCGTCAGGATGGTATATGCCTTATGAATGCCCAGCGGAATGCTGGGCTGGAGGATCACCACATCTATGTAAGTTCCAGTTCTCGGTGACCTGGAACTCTGCAAGCACATTTCAGCGTGCACCGGAGGTGAACCCCTCAAGAAGCAACGAAACACATTGTTGTGCGTGACTACGAAGTCTGCTGTCTCAAGAAGCCTTGAGCCAAGAATCCAATCGCACCGACGAGGGCTCGCCCTGCATTCCCCAAAGTAGCATCCGAATAAGCCCCCACAAATCCCACAGCTCCAGATCCCAATACGTTCCCTCTCGAAAAACAGCGACAGCCCTCGCAGGCGCCATGCCGAAAAGCTCGATGCTGGGCCGGTTCATGATGGCGTTTAAGCGATTGGAAATAGAGGTCAAGGTCTAGAGCTTTGTGGGTTTATGGTGGAGGGTGGCAGGACTTGAGTTCGCGAATCTGCAGACGGCACGATACCCAGCACCATCTAAGGAGCGTCTTCATGAAGGGCGAGAAAGGCCCAGGTGGAGAAATGGGCCACTGGGATGATCCAGTGTTCAAGTTACAATAACTGCTGTTTCCGGCACTTCCTCCTGCCGCTGCTGGTGGTGGTGGTAGTGGCAGAAGTCGTCGTCGAAGCCCCAAAGCCATCCAAAGCCTAACTCGAAACGTACAGAAAGTTTCGTGCTCAGGCCCTGCATGGCCTGGCACACCGTTCGTGATGATGGACAGTCACAAAGAGGTTTAGTGAGAGACTTTCGGCCCTAGGCGGCAGACGTAGACCCCACTCCTTCTGTGAAGCTTTCACGGCCAATCCAAAAGCTTCTATAATTATCAGAGTATGTATTCTTAGTAACTTATCGTACTTGCTCATGGTCTTTAATCATGTTGTGATAGTATCTAGAGTATGTATATCACTACATCAAGACGCCTGGAGCCGAGGCAAAGGGGGCAAAGGGGCTCCGAGCAACGGCCACGTGGTGCCCAAGGCCGCAGCGGCCGCAGCTGGCACGGGCCAGGTGGTTCCACCTCGAAGTCGGCGGCTCAAGACGCGGCTTCTGCGTGGGAGAGTGGGGTTGGGGGGTGGGGGGGAGTTAGTGGAGGGTTTGTTTTTTTTTGGAACCGGAGGTTTGGGATTGAGCTCTTGTGGCGGGGTTTCGGGTTCGAAGAGCCCTGAAGCTTCCTACATTGGCTCTTCTCTGGCAAGGTTTTGCTATGGCTCTTGTTAGTACGGCCCTCGACGAGCCTCCCTTTCAGGTTTCTTAGGGTGGAAGACCCAAGTCCAAAGCTGGCCAAGACTGTTCTCGGTTTATCCTCATCCTATCAGATCTATCGGAATCTATCGCTGCTGCAGCTTTCTATTCTCTGCAGTAACTGTACTCGTGCGCTCTTATGCTTGTGCTGTTCTTGTTGCCTGCCTGGTGGTTCGCTGATACTCATGTCGTGAGTGTAGCTGATACAATCGCCACGACACGCTGGATTTTTATACGTCCGATTCCCAAAGCTTATACACCCTAATCAAGCCTCAGGCCTAAATTCTACAACTGACAGCAGTTCCCAAGGTCAGGGCAGTTGTTTGGTTTTTTCCTCCTGTGGTTCTGCCAAGGGTTTTTATGAGGGTTCTGTCGCAGCTTTCCGGCATTTTTGGCCGCTTCAGTTCCTTCCCAACTTGAGGCTCGGCGCCTTGGCAGTGGGGCACAGGCGCGCCGGGCAGGGCAGGGCGGGGCAGGCCGAGGTATCAAAGAAGTGTCTGGTCAGCGTGGTAGTTGAGGAGCTGCCACATCGCTGCCCCCTGAATTATCCCAAGAAATGCCTTCAAAGTCATCCAGGTCTCGTTTCGTCAGCGGCGACTGCAGAGGCCAATCTGTTGGGTCGATGGTGCAACGTTTTAGGTATCAGGTGCGGCTGATCCTACGTATACTCCACTGCCTGCAGCCCATGTAAAAATTCTCGCGCCTCCCATGTCGATTGAGAGTCTAAAGCCCGAATAAATCCCGAAACCCCCGACGCCCAAAGATCAATCGAGCACGACTTCTCGGGTCGCCGTCCTGGCTTCCGGTGCTTTCAAGAGGCCGCAGCTGAAGATGAGGAAATGGAGCCCAAGAAGGAGCTGGAGGCCTTGCTCGTTTTGGGTTCAAGGTTTGTGGTTTTGGGTTTAGGGTTTATTCGTTGAAGGTTTCGCGGGTTTCGTGAAGGAAAACTTTGAACTCTCAGAAACCAGTCCTAGGTTGTTGACATACCCTACACGCCGAACCACAACCTTAATAGCTGTCTATACGCGCCGGAATCTGCCTGAATTTGTCTAGTCTTCGGATACGGCTTAGGCCCTAGAATCGGGAAACTTGAAATAAATGGCCTGACGCGATCCCCGAAGCCTGGCAACCGTGGCCCCCCCAAACGATAATATAGGGGCCGAAATAAAAAAATCCAGACTCTCTTGGGCCTCCCCATTATAAGTATAGTCTTATGGGCCCCCAAACCCTATAGTTTCGTTTGACCAGACTTCATGTCCGACCACGCCCCAAAACCCTATTCTAAATGTTAAGGCCCCTGTTTTTAGAAGCCCGGATTCAGCCCGGAGGCCTTCCTCCAAAGCGCTCCACTCCCTGGGGAGACCTGGGAGGAAGAGGAGGCGGAGCCACCACAGGCCGGGCTCCCTTGCATTGGGTGTCATATACATTCCTAAGCCCGGGAGCCTCGGATCTTAAACCTGCAAGACTTGACCCTTGCATTGGGTGTCATATAAATCTGTCCTAAGCCTAAGCCCGGAGAGCCTCAGATCTTCAATCCTAAACCCGAAAGCCTTGAAGCCTGGAGGAAGTCATAGAGCCGTCAATAAAGCCTGAGCTGGCAGCCCCTTCACTGGACCCGAACCTGCTGGGTTCCATGGGCCAGGCTGGCGAGGAGGAAGCGCCGTTGCGCAAGCCTAACAAGCAGCTGGAGGCAGGGAGACGAAGGGGCAAAAAGCGAAAGCCTGCCACCCTTATCTTGAAGGCCCCCCCCCCCCCTGAAGAGAGTCGCTCTCGCTGCACAGGCTTCCGGCGCTTGCTGAAGCTTAGATTAGACAGGTTCTTGTACTGGCTATCTTCCGTCCATCCAACAACACTGGAGCATCGTTGGGTGCCCAAGCTTACCGCCATCTTTTTCCCTGACTACCGACGGTGATTCCGAACCTAAGCGCATGATCTGTTCAAAGGTAGCTTGGCAGCTCTAGGTAGGGCCAAGGGCCCTAAAAGCGGGTGGATCGCCGAAAGAGGCCTTCCTCAACGGCGCCCCGATGCCCGACTCCGACGACGAGGAAGACAAAGAGCCTTTCAAGGCAGGCTACTTCCTGAGTTCCCTATAAGAGTTAGTCAGTCGCCCCAAAACCTCAGACGCTCAAACCCAAAAGCATAAAGTGAGAACATGGTTCCAGCCCCAAGCTAGGGAAGGGTGGTAGTTGAGCCCTGAGCCCTTACCCCTCCAGAATCCTGAATCAACAAAAACCCTATGTTGTAAGCTCAGCCACACAGCCCCAGGATGGAACCAGAGGGGAATCGTTGGGTTTTGGGCTGTTTCGTTGCCGTAAGTAGAGCGTCTAGACTCCACCGAAGTCCAGCCAAGAATGCTCCGATTACGGGCTTAAGGGTTTATTAGGGCTTAGGGTTTATTAGGTTTAGGGCTTATAGTAGGGTTTAGGGCTTTTAGGGTTTAGGGTTTAAGCTCCACCCCACAGGTTCCAACAAACCCCTGCCCAAGCGACCCCACTCATCCCGAAAGCTCCGAAGACCTTTAGCCCTGTAATACCTCAAAACTCTCTCTCTCTCTCTCTCTCTCTATATATATATATATATATTATATATATATATATATATACACATACACTTTTACTAAACCCAAAAGCCCAAAAGCCCAATCTCCTATGAGCTAAACCCAAAACTCTTTCAAGCGCTGCGTCGGGAGGCTCAAGAGTGCCAGGAAGAGGCCCAGGCGCCCACGCCGGAGCCCTTTGCCGCTTCGAAGCCGAGAGCAAGGCTAGCTCTTTGCTGTACAGGGCGGGCTTTGGTGAAATTAGGGGTTTTAGGGATTTAGGGAGTTTAGTGTTTTTTGAGGGGTTTAGGGGTTAGAGTTAGGGTTGAGGGTTGAGGGTTTAGGGGTTTTGGGTTTGGGGCTGGCTATAGGAGTTCGGGTTTCGGGCGTTTCGGGGATTTGGTAGTTGGGGATTTTAGGATTTAGGGTTGTGGGGCTTTAGGATTTTGGGGGTTCGTTCAATATAGGTTTTGGGGGTTTGATAGTGCTGCAAGGCTTTATCAGGGGTGTGCAATAGACATTACCTGGACTCTGCAGCTTGTTTTTGTACTTGCGGTTTTATCGGGATAAAACCTGTTCTTACAAAACCTCGAGACCTCGAGAGCCATATAACTATGTAAAAACCCCAAACTCCTTCAGCAAGAGGACCCCCTGGAAAAGCCGCTGGTTCCGGTAGCGAAACCCATACAAAGCGGTTGAAAGCCATGTAAACAGCAGTGCAAAAACCATTAAAGCTTGGGTACGGCCCCCACTCAGTAATAGTTGAATAATATTCATAATATGGGTATATTTGGACCCTAATAACAGCCCTATTATAGACTCTTACTGTATGGGGGGCAGTACCTAAATTAAAGCCGGCAAGCAGGCCTGGAGAAGACTGGCTGGATATGGACGAGGCAGAGTCGACAAGGTGCTTAGCCCAGATGTCGGTGTTAGGCAGTCTGCAGGTGCTTGAGACTTAAATCAAACATATCAAAACCGGTTTTGGGGGTTTAATGTTTAGTGGTGTTGGGGCTTTGTGTCAGTCTTTTTGGGGTGTTGTGCCTGGCTTCTGGGGCATTGTAGGGGTTGATTAGGAATTACGTTCTTGTGTTGCGTTTGTTGCTGCAGGGTTTAACCCGATGCCAGATCCCCAGGCGCCAACCCCCAAGCCGCGTGTACCCCGAAGCCCCAAGACAAGAGAGACCGCAAAGCCTTGACCTTACGCACCCAATGCCCAGGTAGATTCTACGCCCGAAGTACATGTAAGCTTCAAAGCGGGATGCCCCAATCATCTTCTCCCCCACCCTTGAAACTCAAACGACACTAAACCCCAATTGCAACCAAGCCCACTCTAATTTCGCTCAATCCCAAGCACCCAACAACATCAGTATCCCTAGACTCAGGGAACCTCAGTCAAGAATCACAACATTGGTCTTTGCATGGGCGCTTTACTGGCAGGTTTCCAGCGCCAAAGAGGCCTGCGCCAAAGATGGAGGCGCCTGCGGGTGACGGTGCGACCTCGAACCGCGGTTGTAAGTCTCCTCAGACCTTTCTCAGTCTCTATAGGTAGTGCAACAGTATCGAGCACACTCCACTGGTTTAGTGCAAGAATAGACCTTAATTAAAGTTGTGCGGTTTCTGAAGACTCGGTAAGAATGCCCTCCGCAATCGCATGTGTATGTCCGTCAAGCCCCTGGACCCTAAACTCAGAAGCATAGTCCTAAACCCTGAGCCCCCCCCAAAAAAACCTTGCAGCCCTAAACCCCTAAAGCCGTCGACTCGTTGCTTTGAAGTCCGACTTCGATTCAGGGCCACGCCGGGCCGGTGGCGTCCCTGAGCGAGATCCTTGGCGAAGCCGATGAGGCGGAGGACGAAGGCCCTTTGGGGTTTATAGGGCCTTGCTTTTGGTCTGGGGCGGTTTCCGGTTTGGGGTTTGGGGCGTAGGGTGCGCAGCAGCAAAACCTAAAACGCTAGTGGGTAATTGCCTCTCAGCCGTGACGACCGTAAGGTGTAACCAGGGCAGTACCTACCTTAAACTACCAAACCCTACTTTTTTTTATCAACCCAAATATGGAATTTATAGGGACCCTACTACTACAAAAAGTAGGTCTTGGTAGGTTAAGGGAGGGTTTTAGCTTCAGGGGCCACCCACCGCTACTGTCGCAGGCGTCCTCCTGGAACCAGCTGCGAAAGCTCCGAGGACCCAGCCCTTCGAGGTGTGAAAAGTGGCGGGTTAAGGATTTAGGGTTTAGGGTGTCAGGGTGTTAGGGTTTTTGGTTTAGGGTCTATCGGGTGTTAGGGTATAAGGGTTCAGGGTGTTAGGGTTTGAGGGTTTAGGGTTTATAGGGAAGCCCTAGAGATCCCAAGCCCTGCAAGCCCTCAGCCCTAAACCCTAAAACCTCCAGACTCAGCCCAGATGGGCTGGAGCTCAGATCCCTCAGAGCACCAAGCCCATAAGCAAAACTAGGATAGTGATATCCCATATATCCCATATAGCCCCCCCTTATAATGAAGCCCAATAAGGTCAAGCCTCAAACTGCATGAATCCTGCACTCAAACATGCCAGGGGGATGTGGACATGATTACCATGCGCTTTGCTACGACTTCGGAACAGATGCCAGTAGCATACGGAAGCCCAAAGAGCAACAGTAGACATTCCCTTCCGAAGCCCCACTCTCCTCACCGATCCCTCCATCCCGGACTCAGAAGTGTCGTGCCCACTTCTTCGGGCCGCCCAGCGAGGATTGCAAGCCTCCTTGCGTCACTGCCAGCACCAAAAGCGACATGATGGGCAAGCCCGGGCCCAGGCAGGGCTCGGTTTAACTTTCGCGGGGCTGCCGGGGTTCCGGCTTGATGCCGTTTCAGGGTGGTTTGTGTTGTCGCTCTTGGTCTGTTGTTTTGCTTGTCTGTCGCTTTGCAATATGTGCTACTAGTAGATGCAGTGAGGGTCGGGGCGGGCGCGGGCTTCTGGAGCATAGCAGCCCCAAGATGCGATGTCCTTGAGGTCTGTCTGTGTGGCTGGGGTGCCCCCTGAAGGCCTTGTGGGGAGGGTGTTGAAGTGGGGAGCCTGAACTCGGGACCCGAGCCAAGGCTCCCCCCCAAAAACCGGGCTAAAGGAGATGATGCACCTAAGCCCGACGCCTCCCCTTTGGATCCACCCCTGCCCCTGCCTTGCTGGGGGTGGCTTAGTGTGAAATCCCCAGAAGTGATACCGGCCTCATGAATTTCCGGGCCCAGCCGCCTGAGAACCGTAAAACAGTCAGGCCTGTTAGGCGGCGATAAATCTTGTGAGCCTTTCCCTTTCCAATCTTGATCTCTGAACCTCCCCAAGACCCTAACCCCCACACCTTCCTCCCATCTCCCAAATCCCAAAAGCCCCGAAGACCTCGAACTTGGGTCACTGCAGGTCCATGATGTTGGTCTTGGCTGACGCGAAACGTAGGAATCTGATCGCGAAAGCCCTGGTTCTTGCTTCTGAATATGAATCCTATTTATTCAGTATTCTGAATCTGAAGGCTATGATGTCGGCGTTTGGCATGGATTCGTTTAGATGTTTTTCGGGCCTCTGAATATGGATTACACTATGGTGTGGGGGTTGGTGTTTATGGTTTGGCGGTTTCGGGGCTAGGAGCTAAGCAGGTTGTCAGTCAGTGCGTCCGGGCGCAGGATAGCTGAGGCCCAGCAGGCCCTCGGCTAAGCTTTAGAGTGGCCCCCAAACCCTATAACCCCTGAGCCCTGCATCCCAAACTCCTAAACCCCTTAAGCCCTATCTCTTTAGAACCCTTCAACATCCCACAACTCTCTACGTTTGAAGGGTTTTGCGTCCGGTTCCGAGAGAGACCAGCGCTTCGCCTGTGAACAGCAGACAAGGCTCCTTAAGGACCACATGTGCTCCTCAGAAGAAGGGGCAGCGAGATGGCCGTCCCCAATCTTCACTCACACCTCGGATCTCTTGGGGTAGAGCTGGGAAGTTTCTTGCGGGTCCCATGGAGATAAAAGGCTCCATACAAACTAATTAAATGCCTGCGTACCTACATACCCAGAGGCCCCATAGTAGTTCCTTTTTGGGCTTACCTTATAGGATTCTAAACATGAACCCCGAAAAGGAACTACTACGGGGCGTATGGGTACTCTGTTTAGCCACAGGTTCTCTTGAGGTGTGCATTTGGTCCTTAGGCTGCCAGCATGCACGGCAAGGCGGAAAAAGAGGGGTGGGCTCTCATCTTTCAGTAAGTCAGTAAGTCACGCCCTGTTGACTTTTCTTAATGCTGTTGTTGCCTTCCTCCTCAGGCGGCGAACTCAGTGTTGCCAGGATGTACTAGCCCTGATTGACTTTGGGTTTGAGGGATGGCATGGAGCGCGGTGTCTTGATCCTCGGCTAGGGAATCTTAACCCGCGAAGGTCTCGGGAAGTAGGGTAATGTAAACCCCCGATTGAGAACTCCCCCTCTCCTGAGCAACCTTGACGGTACTGCATGCACGTTGACATGACTCCTTGACGATGCCCGATGCCCTTGTTAGAAGACTTTCTGACAGAAGCTCTATAAACAGCTGCAGAAACCTTTTCAACCACCGTTCGAATCTATAGCAATGCCCTCCGCAGGTCAATGCCAGCTGTAAAGGACCGGCAAGAGCACATGTCGCCCGCTTCGGTTCCGGGTCTAGGCCTAGGTTTCAGGGTTTGGCGTTTTGTACAGGATGTCTGATTTACTCTGCTTGAGTTTGTTCTTGACTCTCTGCCATGCAGCTGTGTCAGGTCATCTTCGCAAAGCTTGCTGAGAAGCCAGCATCATGCAAGTAACTCTTGGAGATACTCATCTGGGGCAGAATGGACCTTAAATACTCGGAGCTCCCTTTAAGGAAGTCCCTTAGTGCGGGTTCCTGAGCTAGAGTTCCACTCCAAATCCAGAGAAGCTCACCAAAGCATTGAAGCCTCAGAGTTCGAAAGGAATGACACCGCACTCCGTGCCTACTGCCCTCGGTGGCAGCCTGAGGAAAAGCCACGCCGTAGGATTTAACATCAGGGTTCTACACTCTGATGCCTTGTTCGTTTGGGGCATTGGCAACAAGCGTTCAGTTGAGTTCTGACTTGAACCCTTGCTTCCACAAGTCCAGCATCTAGGGTGTATGAAAAACCTAGAACTCCAGACCCTCCCTAAGCCACAAACCTAACACTCGACCCGAAGCTTTGAATGCAGAATTTCCTGTGAGTCGATTCGATAGATCCCACCCAGAGAACCCACACTGTAGTTTCCTTTGTTTTGGGGGGGTTTATTACGGGATCCTAACCGTAAAGCTGGGGAATCGAGGCAAGGAACAATAGAGTCCACAGGTAGCCTTCAAGGTTTTTTCGGTTTCGGACGAAATGGGAAGGCGAGCTTCGTTTAAACTCCGAAGCCAGGACCGTTTTAGGGTTAGGGTTTAGGGTTTAGGGTTCCCTAAATCCGCTTCTGTCCAGGCGCATTGTATATTGCCGAGATTCGCATGGCCATGGCGGCGATCAAAGAGGCCTTGGGGGCTTGCGATGCGCAAGGAAGAGGAGGAAGTTAATATAGGGGCCCAAATAATTACCAATACCATTTTGGTGATTCCTTATTATGATTATAGTATAATGGGCCCCAAGAACCCTGTTCTAATTATTCTAAGGCCCCTATATTAGAGTTTCATACCAGACCAAGGCCTGTTGTGCTTGAAACCGACGTTCATGCTTGCTTAGTCTTGATAGTCGTGATAGGAGCTCTGAGATTTCTTTTTGTGCGAGCCGTTGCAGGATCGATGGGAGGATCTCTGGAAAAGCGCCACAGCAGAGGCACAGGGATACTCGAAGTTCGCTTCGGGGCTCTAGCGGAGCTTTGGAAAGTGGTCATGATGGGTGACATCTTAAGCTTGGGTCACCAAGGTTTGAGGCTTGAGACCTGGGTTATGGGCTGGGCTCCTGCGGGTGAGGGCAGGGTTGTAGGGGAAACGTCGGAGTTGAGGGCTGTCTGGATATGTTGGGCTTGCATGGACATGAGTCTTGGTTCCCAAGCTCTGAAAGCTTCAAGACCCAATCCCAGCCGCAAGTCCCATATAGGGCCCAAAATTCTACTTTCTACTTCTTCCAGCAACCCCCACCCCCTTCCTGCTCCAACCCTCACTCCCCAAACTGTCTAGGAAAGGCCGCGCTGAAGCCATGTGCCAGATGAACATCGGAATCTCTATCATGCTGCTGAATATCCCCCAAAAATCTACTCATCAGGCCACCCCACCTTTAGTCTAGCAGCTCCGAGCCAAAGATAATACTATAGAGGGGCCGCAATAATTAGAATAGGGTCTTTGGGGGATGTTATACCATATACTTATACTAAGGAAAGCCCCCAAAATAGTGTAGGTAGGGACCCAAAAAAGCGCATAAGCATAAGCATTTTATAGGGATATCCCTACCTTATTGGGCTTCATTATAAGGGTTTTTTATATGGGATATCCCTATCCTAATTTTTGCTTATGTGCCTTTTTGGGGCCCCACTATAGTAGCTGGTGGTCGAAGGCGAAGACTTCGCTTCCGTCGGTGGTCAAAGACAAGAGCAAGGCAGCGGGGCTTCGCGTCTCGGGTCATGGAGGATCAGGGGACTTAGTAAGTAAAGTTATAAGTGAGCTGGCTTTGAGAAGCAAGGGCCCAAAGATTCAAGACTCCAAGCTTTGCATCGCGACATCACCGGCTTAACTGTCTGGTTCTTTGTAGGGAATGGGGGGAATGGATCCTACAGCAGTCAGCAGTCCCTGTAAGTATAATCCCCAACAATAGTCCCCGTAACCCATTCCCCCATCCCCTACTAAGAACCAGACAGTTAAGCGCACAGCCCCCAACCCACAGCCTAATTCCAGCGGGCCTCGAGCTGTCGGGGTTTGCAAGGCTCAAGAACTTAACCCCCAAAAAGCCAGGGCTCAGGGTTTAGGGCCCACTTACTATAGAGGCCTACATAATGACCCATACTATCGTGGAGGCTCCTGATTATGATGATAGTATACTGGGTATCCGAATTAAATTAAGGCCCGGGTTTTTTTTGTAAGCCCTCAGAGCTGCCAGGGCCCTCTCCACATCCTCCTGAAAGACGGACAGCTGACTGTCGGGAAGCTCGAGACAGCGGGGGCCCGAAGATGCCTCTTTTGGGGGTTCCGGGACTTGGGGCGGTTTTTCTAAGGCTTCCTGGGTTCAGGGTTTAGGGGTACTATAGGGTTTAGAGGTTTAGGGTTTAGAGGTTGAGGGTCTAGAGGTTTAGGGGTTTAGAGGTTTAGGGTTTAGAGGTTTAGGGTTTAGGGCTATGCGCGGCACTGCGCTCCATCAAGGTGCTTCGATGTCCGAACGTGCAGAACGAGGCGGGCGTGGGTGCTGTCGCACTTTCCAATCGTGCAAAGTTCAGGCTTCAGATGTAAGCGGTGGTGTTTCCCCTAAGTACTGCCTCTTCCGAAGCCAAGCGATGATGTTGCTGCTATGCTTTCTGCAACTATTGTTCTACCGATTTCCTCTGCGGTTCTCTTCTTTCTTTTGAAAGAAGTAGAAGGAAGAATAAATCGTAGCTAACATAAACTGTCCGCCGTGCAAGTTTTCTGGTGGAAATCCCGTGTGAGATTCTCATGTTGTAAGAACCGTGGCATGTGCTTTGGGGACTAAAACAAGGCCGCACATCCTGCCAAAAACAACGGGCGCGGATCACTTCCTTGTCGGTATCCTCTGGGTCTGCATGCATATATGTGTATATATATATATATATACATACACACTTTTTTTACTTTTGTATTTATATTTACA